TAGCTTAGGTGGATGTTTGTGGCACTGATGCAATACCGTCACATTCCATACGAACAACAAAATTATCAATTTACATGTATTTGATGAGGTTCTTCCCATTTTTACTGCAAAACAAATTCAGGGGACACCTCTATTGAGGGAGCTCTGTAAAGGATGTCTGATTCATTTTGTTAATGTTACCATTATTTGCATGTCCTTATTTACAAAGGAACTTAACTTTAACGAAGAAATTATCAGCAGAGGACCGAAAAAAAAACAACTTCACATCAAACAAATATTTCTCCCAAGCATTTTTTTCAAACAACATAAAAGAACTTTGAAAAACTGTTAGGCAAACAGCAGTGCTGTCAACTCTCCCGTATAATCTGGGAGACTTCAGATTTTAGACTGTATCTCCCGGTCTCCAGATTAGAGTATGAGATCTCCCGGATAATCGCCTAAGTTTGCCATTTTATATTCTCATTTCAGTTGACTCGACTTTCTGACAATATTAAAAATTTCAACTCTTTTGCATCATTTTCTCATAAAGTCCCGTAAGCCATTGTAACTTAATTAATAATGGTAATGATGCGTTTGGTGGGAAGCAAACCAATCAGGTAAAATGTTACTACATCATACATACATACATAATTTATTGATCAATAGGTCAATAGTAGGCAGCCAAAGGCTGATGTGGACCCTAACATCTTTTTCACGCGTTTTTTGCTATTGCAAATTTGTGGCAATTGGAGTCAACGAGTATTTTTTACACAACGTCATATGCCGTACATTATGACATCATCCATTATCCCTTCCCTTAGTTCTCTATCAATTCTCAATAAAGACGTAGGGGGTGGACAGCCCTGAAACAGGTTTTATAATGATTTTTATATTAATTTTTCAAAAACAACAATTGCAAATCTGTTCCAATCTTCTTAATATATCGATATTTTCTGCACCGGACAACCAAACATTTTAGGCCTATGTTATTTATTAGGAAAAACTTATAAACAGCCCACAGTAGCTCCACTCAAATCACTGAAATCAACACACTCGGCCAAACTACTGCACTTATTGAGACGGACCATACAATATCACTAGCCTTCAAGGCTTTTTCATAATGATACACAGTTTAAATAGAGGTTCCGCTGTAAGCAATCCTTACATTTAAAATATGCCATGATCAAATTAAATCGCTACCATCGCTGTGATCGCTGCGATCGCTGAGAAAATAAAAAACTTCAGCGATCGCAGCGATCATATGAAACCACTCTCCCGCGATCGCAGCGACAATAATCGCTGAGATATAAAAAGTTCTATCTCAACGATCGTTGTCGCTGCGACCGCTGGAGAGTGGTTTCCATATGATCGCTGAACTTTTTTTTCTCAGCGATCACAGCGATCCTAGCGATCATATGGAAACCGGGCTTAATCTATCGCAATAACTATCCACCCTTCCTCCTCAACTGCTACCTGTACGCCTTACAAACATATCGAACGCACTGTTTTAAGCTCCGATTACTTCTAGTTACTATTATCTAAATATTACTTGCTCATGCAAGGGGTAGGGTGCATACCTTACAAGACCTGAGCAGGATTTTCCACCACTTCTGTCCTGCCACGGACAATTTTTATGCCATAAATAACGCCAAGTGTTGAAGGATTAGTTAAAGAAACGATGGAGACGAGTTCTTTAAGTCTAAAAATATCACTTTAGGACCAATTTAACTACACACGTGTTATGCATGTAGTAAGTCGCCATACTGGTTTCTTCTAGAACCCAGTCTCATTCTGGCGCGTGAGTCTCGCGCGTGAGCTGTGCATTCGAGTACGCGTTTCTTCTTTCCTCAACTACAGGCTATTTCCCATATTAATTCACTTAAAATACTGAACTAAGAGCTTTAAATCCGGATAGGAGATCGCGCATAGATACCTTTTGCAGCAAAGGGGTTGGTTCCATCGAAACAGTAAAACGTGCAATTATTCCAACGCGTGTGACACACTCTAGTAAGCGTTCCTTGCAACCCTGAATTTCAGTCCCCCCCTCGTTCGCTAAGTCACTCGCGGGAGAGAGGTTCTCTCCCTGAGTGACTCAGTGAGCGGAGGAGTTTGCTGAAATTCAGACTAAATATAGAAGGAATTCTTATTTTTACCCGTAATCACCGACAAACATTAAACACAAAGGACCGCAATCACGGGTTAACCCCTTTAAAAAAAATTTCACGAAGGCGATTAGGCAAATTGGAAAACCGCACTGGCCTAAAGAATGGTCTACGAGGCTAGGCTTTCCTACCTATCTAAACCATATCAAAACATCATTTCTAGGCCTATTTCGACTAAAACCAATAAAAAAGGGATCAGGATTTTTTGCCCCAAAATCATGGCTAACCCCTTCAGGAAAAATCTAAGATCTCGATTATAGAAAATCTTTATTAATAGGAAACCTTCTAGTTATCAGTATGAAACATCACAAATGATATTTTCCAGGCCTTTTTTGGCTTAAAACGTGCGACGAGGAGCTTCATCGGCCGCTGATAGACGCGAGGATAACGCGCGGGTCACTTTTTAAGACTTGACTTCAGGGACAAAATTTCTTATTACTTCGTTGTTTGTTTTATGTCCAAAGCCGGGGTCCAAATAGGCGTAGAATAGTTTGGAATTCCTTTTAAGCGCTTCACAAAAATAGATTTTACCTTATCGCCGGCCATCTTAGATTTTTCCAAAGGGTTTAGGGCTAATAATTTCCATTTGACCCTAAATCATAAGTTGTCCCCGTTGCCCAAATTCCCGGGGGGGGGCACTTGGGTATTTTTTGGGTGGGTATGTGCCGCCCGGGACTCCAAATTGGCACCCCGTTCTAGAAAAATTTTCCCCTAAAATTGATACCCCGTTGTAGAAATGGGCCAATTTTTTATACCCCGTTCTAGAATTCGCCCTAAAACTGATACCCCGTTCTAGAAATGGGCCAATTTTTTGTACTCCGTTCTCGGGTGCAACAAGAGTACAACAGTTTGCTTGTTAACGCATTGAACCGTATTTTTAAAAGCAATCTGTCCTTGAATACTTTCAAATGGCTGCTTACAAAAGTGGAGCTTTCGTGCGTTCGAAATATTATACCCCGTTCTAGAAACGCCTCTGAAATGGATACCCCGTTCTAAATCAGGAGCTTCAAAATCACGACCCCTTTGGGCGGCACATACCCGTATAGGTAATGTATGGGAGTACCCCCCCCGGGGCCAAATTCAAGATGGTGACCAGCCAAAATCGATAATTGTTATTGTCTAAGTCTACCAGGCGCTACCCTGGGTGCCAGAGGCTTTTCATACGCGGTTTCCGGTTTCGGTTAAGTCTTACAAAGGGACCCGCGCGTTTTTATCGCGTCGACCTGCGGCCGACGAATGCTCCTCGTCGCACGCGAGAAAAAAACCTCTGGTACCCAGGATAACGAGGCCCTCTCACCCACCTATAATATTTGTAACTTAACCATCCTCAACCTCGTTACTAGGTTGTACAGACCTCTACAAGTCCCGGGCTGTGTCGCTCCCGTGGAACAAGTAGACGAGGACCCCGGGCCTGACATTGCAGCATGATAGGCCTATTTTGACTCGAGGGGTATCAAGGGTAACAAGGGGTAACAAGGGTTACAAGGGGTAACAAGGGTAACAAGGGGTAACAAGGGGTAACAAGGGGTAACAAAGGGTAACAAAGGGTAACAAGGGTAACAAGGGGTAACAAGGGGGAACAAGGGGGAACAAGGGGTAACAAAGGGTAACAAGGGGTAACAAGGGCGAGCAAGGGCGAACAAAGGGAAACAAGGGGTAACAAGGGTAACAAGGGGGGACAAGGGTAACAAGGGGTAACAACGGTAACAAGGGGCAACGAAGGGTAACAAGGGGTAACAAGGGTAACAAGGGGTAACAAGGATAACAAGGGGTAACAAGGGGGAGCAAGGGGGAACAAGGGGGAACAAGGGGTAACAAAGGGAAACAAGGGGTAACAAGGGTAACAAGGGGGAACAAGGGTAACAAGGGGTAACAAGGGTAACAAGGGGTAACAAGGGGAAAAAGGGGTAACAAGGATAACAAGGGGGAACAAGGGGGAAAAGGATAACAAGGGGGAACAAGGGTAACAAAGGGTAAGAAGGGAATAAGGGGGGACAAGGGGAAACAAGTGGGAACAAGTGGTAACAAGGGGGAACAAGGGGTAACAAGGAGAATAAGGGGAACAAGGGAAACAAGGGGTACCAAGGGGGGAGGGTGCGGCTACACGTAGGCTACTTGTCTAGTGAAGTGAAAATTGCGTTATCTGCAGGATATATACTGTGGAAATTTCACTCTGTTCTTCTCGCCGTCTATTGAAAGATTGTAAATCTTAGAAATCTTACAAGTGTGAAGTCACCATCGTAAAGAGTGAAGATAGTTTGAACGTTCACCTGGTCAAAGTAAAATTGCAGCTGGTACTCAATCAGCATAGACAACACAACGAACCAATAATGTCGGAGCAGCTCGTAAGGTGTTTCCTCATTGGTCGCAGAAAACAATAGATTTTTTATCACTATTTCCCATTGTTTCACGGTTAGGGTATCAAAAAAATAAAAAAGAAACAACAAGG